CAATCCAGACAATGATATCAACGACTCGTCGCTAATATTCACGTCATATAACTTTAAATAATGAAGATTTGGTAAATTGTGGCCAATATTAGCGAAGAATATATCAGTGTAGGGATTGTCGAATACATACAGTAAATACAAATGAGTTAATCGTCTCAATGGTTGTAATAAATTGCTGGTCAGCGGCTCTTCGCCGACAACAATGTTGCTTAATGTTAGTCTCTTTAATGCCATAAAGTGTTTACTAATCGTATAAATCAATTCTGGTGTCAATTCAAAGACATTAATGTCAAGACTCTTCATTTGCCGACAATTGATACCAATTGTAGTCAATAATTGGATCCAATCTTCAGATGAGACCTGCGAATCGGCTGTAAACGACAGTTCAAAGCTAATCAATGTCTGCATTCGCGGCAAACTGTCCATCAGTTGAGTGAGTATTGCATCGATAATCACTGCATTACTGGACCAAACTATTAACCCAATTGTCTTCATTTGATGGCCGTATTTGTCCGCAAACACATCCAATGCTGTCATAAGTCCGTTGATATCTTCATCCAAAGTGTGCACATCTAACCGAATACTATTGAGTCGCTTAAATAGCACTGGGATTTTGGGCACCAATTGTATCATCACGTTATATAACGGGCGGTCATTATTTGTAAATGACTGCATATTAACACACATTTTTAGCCATTTCTCGATCCACTTCTGATCCACGCTTTCATTAAAGCCGAAAACATTGACTGATTTCAATTTCGGACCAAATTTAGTGAAAAACTTATCAATTGTATCGACACTAATGTTCTTGAAGTTCATGTATATTGTCGTCAAATGAGAACAATATTTGACCAGTAATTCAATGGCTGTGTCTTCGAGTGGATAATCTGTGTTAATATAAATGTATGAAATATTTGTCCATTTTTTGACAATTGTCTCAAATATACAACAATTGTATTCATTTGTATTGAATTTGTGACCAATTGTTGGTTTGTATTCCATTTTTCTCTTCAACTCCGCCTTCGAAACTCGGCCTAACATTGGATGAAACCATCGGCCAGTATTGCCATCAATTGTTACCACCGTTTGACTCTCGAAGACAACTCTTCGCCACTGTTTTGAAATGCATTCAAATCTGAATTTGTCTTCGAGTGAGAGATAAGACAACAACTCTTCGCACAAATCATCACCGAATCGATCCAAAGAGTCTGAAGCATATGTTTCACACATTTTAAAACACAAAAAATGTATAAAATACTCGTGTAATACAATAGAAATAAGTGGAAAACTTACAAAAATAAGTACAACTCATTTCCAATGATAACTATTGAATTTATTTAAACTTTTGAACAAAACTTGTGGTTATCTATTTAAAATTATAGTTAAACTCAATTATACAGTTCATGTGTTTGAGTGCATTACTAATTGAATCAATTAATAATTGAAAATTATATATAATTTTAAATAATAAGCAAATATTTATTTTATTCAAACATTAAATAATTATTTCAATTATAACTTATAATTTATAAGTTTCACATTAATTATTATTACATAAAACTGTTTAAAATCATGAAATGTGTGACATTTATATTTTGCCGAACTCTGAGTCCATGTTATACTTGAGTCCGCCATCGATGACCAGATTGTGTCCCGTTATGAACGAGGCGTCCGATGAGGACAGGAATACCACTCCTTTGGCGATGTCTTCAGTCACTCCGACGCGACCTAAAGGTGTCAAACGAATCACCTTTTTATTGAACGCGACTTCGTATGGATCCGTTTGGTTAAGTGGATACGACTGTACTATACCTGGACTGCAACGAGAGAGAGAGAGAGA